TTTAGTCCACAGGCTGATGCTCCAACTGCTGAGCCAAACTGGCCAGGGCAGGCTCTGATTCTTGTAACACAAAGCTACCTGCAGCTCATGGCTCCTGTTTGTTTACCCTTTTGTCAGTTCCGGTGTCCCTGCCTGCTCATAGGCCTCCCTCTCCTCCTTGAAGCCATGTCTTACTCATCTCTATAATAACAGCATCTGGCCCTGTCCAGGGAACTTTGATGGTGCCCACCAATGTTTGAATAAATATCTGTATTTTTCATAACATTTGGACCAGACCCTGACCTAGAGGCTCTGGAATAAATAGCAGCACAGATTTTAGAGTCAATACATGTATCAGCCACATGTAAAAAGGTGAGATGGGCCAAATAGATTCCTTCTGGGGGTGTGAAGTAGGAACCGTGGAATGCTAAGGCAATTAGCAGAGGAAGCAGAAGCTTCAAGGATGTGTGGGAAATGGACAAGCTGCGTGGACCCTCTGTTCTTTACATTTTTTTTTCCTTTATTGATTTTAGAGAGAGAGGAAGGGAGAGAGAGATAGAAACATCGATGAGAGAGAACATCAATGGGCCACCTCCTGCATGCCTCCCATTGGAGATCGGGCCCACAACCTGGGCATGTGCTCTGACCAGTAATTGAACCAGTGACCTCTTGGTGCATGTGTCAATGATCAACCACTGAGCCACACTGGCCAGGACCTTTTTTTTTTTTAGAGAGAGAGAGGAAGGGAGAGGGAGAGAGAGATAGCCCTCTGTTCTTTTTTTTTTTTTATCTTTATGGTTGAATGTATTACAGATGTTCCTCATTTTTCCCCCATTGACACCCTCCTTCCCACTCCCACCCCCCTCCTGCCTTTACCCACACTGTTGTCTGTGTCCATTGGTTATGCATATAAGTTCTTTGGTTTATTTCTTCCCACCTCCAACCCCCCTCCCTTTGAGGTTTGTTAGTCTAGCAACCAATTTGTACTTCTTAATCCCTTCACCTTTTTCACCCATTCCCCCAACCCCCCTCCCATCTGGCAACCAACAAAATGTTCTTGTATCTATGAGAATGTTTCTGTTCTGCCTGTTCATTTTGTTTGTAGATTCCATTGTCCATAGATATATATTCATTACCATTGTGTTTGTTCATATATTTTATCTTTTTCTTCAAAAAGACCCTTCATCATTTCATATAATAACGGTTTGGTGGTGATGAACTCCTTTAACTTTTTCTTGTCTGGGAAACTCTTTATATGGCCATCGATTCTAAATGACAGCTTTGCAGGATAGAGTAATCTTGGTTGTAGGTTCTTGCTTTTCATCACTCTGAATATTTCTTGCCACTCCCTTCTGGCCTGCAAAGTTTCTTTTGAGAAATCAGCTGACAGTCTTATGGGAACTCCCTTGTAGGTAACTAACTGCTTTTCTCTTGCTGCTTGTAAGATTCTCTCTTTGTCTTGAACCTTTTGCATTTTGATGATGATGTGTCTTGGTGTGGGCCTCTTGGGGTTCATCTTGTTTGGGACTCTCTGTGCTTCCTGGACTTGTATGTCTGTTTTCTTTACCAAGTTAGGGAAGTTTTCTGCCATTATTGTTTCAAATAGGTTTTCAATTTCTCGTTCTCTCTCTTCTCCTTCTGGCACCCCCAAGATGTGAATGTTGGCACGCTTGTTGTCCCAGAGGCTCCTTACACTATCCTCATTTTTTTTAAATTCTTTTTTACTTTTTGCTGTTCTGATTGGGTGTTTTTTGCTTGCTTATATTCCAAATCAATGGTTTGCTTCTTGACTTTACCTACTCTACTATTGAATCTGTGTAAATTCTTCTTTTTTTTTTTTTTCTAAAGGTCTTTTATTTTATTTATTATTTTTTGGTACGTGCCCCTAGTGGGAACTGAATCCGGTACTCTTTGGTCCACAGGCCGACACTCCAACCGCTGAGCCAAACTGGCCGGGGCGTAAATTATTCTTTATTTCAGTTAATGCCTCCTTCATTTCTGACTGTGCATCCTTCATTTCTGACTGGTCCTTTTTATGCCCTTGAGGCCCTCTCTAAGTTTATTGAGATTCTCACTAAGTTCATTGAGCATCCTTATAAGCAGTATTTTGAACTCAGCATCTGTTAGGTTGCTTATCTCCATTTTGCTTAGTTCTTTTCCTGGGGTTTTGTTCTGTTCTTTCTTTTGGGACCTGTTTGTCTCCTCATTTTGGCTGCCTTCCTGTGTTTGTTTCTGTTTTACTTAACGAGAGGTATGGGGCTAGCTGAGGTCAGATGCTGCTTGAAATAATTTAGGAAAACCTGAAGCAAGATCCAAGACAGGCCAATCCTATGGTTAAGCAATTGGCAACAGCTTGGGTGGGCCTGAAAGTTGGGTGGGGCGGGGCGGGGCCTCAGGGAGTCAGCAGGGCGGGGCTACCAGTGTGAGCCAGGTTGCTGGAGTCCCAGATATGGTGGCTTGTCTGCCGCCCCAGGGAAGGGCTCACCAAAGGAACAAAGGCCTCTGACAGCACGTTTGTCCCAGAGAAAGCCCCCCCTCCAGCCCTCGCTCCAATGCCAAACAGCTCAGTTCTTCCCTGTTTGTCTCTGGCGCCCCTCGAGCTGCCTCCCCTCCAAGCTTAGAGGGAGAGAGTCCAATAAGTTCGTGCGCGGGCCCTTTAAGGAGCTGCCTGGGGCTCCAGCCGCGTCAGCTTCCCTGAGCCTCACTTCCCGCTGGTTTTTCCAGCCAGAAGTTATGGGGACTCTCTTCCTGGCACTGGAACCCTGAGTGGGAGCCTGGTGTGGGACAGGGACCCCTCAGTCCTCAGGGAGGACCTTCCCAGCCGAGGTGTCCTCCTGATTTTTATCCGCCACACGTGGGTGTGGGACCAGCCCGTCCGCCTCCGCCCCTCCTACCAGTCTGGATGTGGCTGCTGCTTTAATTCCGTAGTTGTAGGACTTCCATTCAGCTTGATTTCAGATGGTTCTGAATAATGGTTGTTCTGTGGTTTAGTTGTAACTTCGATGTGGTTGTAGGAGGACACGATACCGCGTTTACCTACCCGCCACCTTGACCGGAAGTCAGCCCTCTGTTCTTTAGTGTCCTCCCTTGTAACATGGGGGTGATGATAAGGAGAAGAAGGAGGAAGGAGACTCAAAAATGGCCATGAAAGTGTTTTGTGAAGTGTTAAGTGAACACAAGTAGAAATGATTAATAAAGCTTATCAATAAGTTTTATGCATTATTGCCAATCTATTTCTGTGACCTTGCACCTGACCTTAGAGTCCTCTTTCATATATTCAGCACAATGGTAACTCTTTGCTGGACTGGCATGAGGAAGCAATGTGGAAGGCATAAAAAGTGCTCAGTCCAGCACCTCTCACCCATGAGGAAATATATGAATAGCTTTTTTTTTAACACATGTTTTTATTTATTTTAGAGAGAAAGGGAAGAAGAGAGAGAGAAACATCGACTGGTTGCTTCCCATACGCACCCCAACTGGGACCAAACACACAATCAGGGCATATTCCTGGCAGGGAATCAAACCTGTGACCTTTCAGTGCATGGGATGATGCTCAGTCAACTGAGCCACATCAGCCAGGGCTGGGTAGCTTCTTTTTTTATTTTATTATTATTATTTTTTAAATCCTCACCCAAGGATATTTTTTTCAAATATCTTCAGATAGAGTGGGAGGAGGGGGGAGAAGAGGGGGGAGAGAGAGAGAGAGAGAGAGAGAGAGAGAGAGAGAGAGAGGTAAGAGACACGATTGGTTGCCTCCAGGCACAACCCCAATCAGGGCCAGGGATGAACCACAACCGAGGAACCTGCCCTTGGCCAAATCGAACCTGTGACCCTCTGGTCCGCCGTCCGACTCTCTAACCGCTGTGCCAAACCGGCTAGAGCTGGGTAGCTTCTTAAAAAACAGATTCCTGGCACCCAATCTCTGCCATCTTCCTAAATTGAGATTTTTTGGGGATGAAGCCTAGGAATCTGAATTTTAAATAAGCATCCCAGGTGATCGATTAGGGTGATTCAGTGAGACTTTAAGAAACACTGAAAGGGCCCTGGCTGGTTTGGCTCAGCAGTTAGAGCGTCAGCCTGTGGTCCAGAGAGACTCGGGTTCAGTGCACGTACGTACCTCCGTTGCAGTTTGTCCCTGGCCCTGGTTGGTTCGTGTGGTAGGCAGCTAGCTACTCGATGTTTCTCTCTCTCCCTTTCTCCCTTTTTTCCCCCTCTCTCTCCCTGCCACTCTATAAGAAGATAAATAAAAAAAAATATCCTCAGGTGAGGATTTAAAAAACACACACACTGAAAGGATCAATTAAGGTGTGTGTGTTTGGGTGGTGAAGGCAGTACTACCTTATGTGGCCACGAGATGGCAGCAGAGAGAGAAGCAATGAGAATTGGGGGTGGGCAGACATGGGTTATGGAAAAGAGATGGGTCCTGTATTTCGGCATGGTCATCTTTGCCAGGTGGAGTCTGTTACTGCAGACTACTCCCCTGTGACCTTCTGTCTCATTACTAGATCTTTATAGACTTTGCTTTCGCCAGACTCTGCCAGCAGAAACTGTATCAGTGTGACCTTTGCTGGACTGGGGGTGGTGGTAATGTGTGTTCCACATGGGTGAGTATGGGAGAACAAGGATGTCACCTCCACAGGGCAGCTTATTTAAAGGATACCAGTGCATGTTGAAAGCAGGGTTTCCTATGCCCCTGCTGCTAGGTTTGTGGTTCCAGGCGCTCTTAAAGGACTTGTTTATTTGAATCCTGCCTGCTCCAGTCATGAGAGGATCAGGTCTGTGGCTGGAGTAGCTGGCCAAAGACCAAGCAAAGGATGCTGGGATGGGGAAAAGGAAGGGAACACAGGATGAGACAGCTGTCTCTGGAAGCAGACAAGATGTCCCTGGCTGCAGTAGGGGTGGTAAGAGGATTAGGTGACAGTCCCCTAACCCAGCCCGGAACTAACACCCTCCTCCCCCTCACACATGAGCCTTGGCCTGCCCCACTCCAAGCCTGCCAACGTTCAGAATAACCCCGAGGACCAGCCGGCGGGATGACAGGAGCTCTGCTCAGCGCCCTATTCCTCTTGCAGCTCTTTGGTATGGACAGGGGTCTGAGGAGGTGGTTGGGCCCACACCGGGACATACTAACATAAATAAGACAAAGACAGAGACCAAGATGTAGACTGGGATGCAGTATTTGGGGGCCAGGGGCAATATCATTGTTCAGGAGACACCAGTGGAAAATACACAGTCACAGACACACAAAGAAGCAGAGCCCTGCACAGAGGGGACAGAGGGGAGAGGCCCCCCTAAGCCTCTTCATTTCTAGTGACTTCACTGCTTCACACCATCCCCAGGCACAGGTGAGGGGAAGAATGAGGAGTTACGCCTTTTTCACCATCTTTTCGACAACTATGACCCAGGATGCAGGCCAGTGAGGGAGCCTGAGGACACGGTCACCATCAACCTCAAGGTCACCCTAACCAACCTCATCTCACTGGTAAGATACCCCACCTCCACTCCAAGCACCATCTCTGAACTTAAAATTCCACTTTTGGCCCCAAGCGCTGAGCTCTGTCCTAAAGTTTACTTCTGGCCCTGGAATCCCATCCTTATCTCCCCTGCGCAGAACGAGAAGGAGGAGACCCTCACCACCAGCGTCTGGATTGGAATCGTGAGTCAAATCTGGGGGGGTGGACAGTGTGAGGCCTTGTCTAAAGGATCCCTTTCTCTCCAACTCCTCGCGGGCGCCAGGTGGGAGATGCAGGGCACACGTCCTTCCGTCCCCGCCCCTTAGGATTGGCATGATTACCGACTCAACTACAGCAAGGACGACTTTGGGGGCATACAAACCATGCGGGTCCGTTCCGAACTCGTATGGCTACCGGAGATAGTGCTGGAAAACAAGTAAGGACGAGTGGAAACCAGGCTGGAAGGAAGCCGAGGCCTGAGGGGGCCGGGTTGGACCTGGTTGGGGCGGGAGGTGGGGTGGGGGTGCTTGGAGGGCGAGGGGCCGCGGACCTTCGCAAACTCTGGCTTTCGCGGAGCCCACAGCATTGACGGCCAGTTCGGCGTGGCTTACGACGCCAACGTGCTGGTCTACGAGGGTGGCTACGTGAGCTGGCTGCCGCCGGCCATCTACCGCAGCACCTGCGCCGTGGAAGTCACCTACTTCCCCTTCGACTGGCAGAACTGCTCGCTTGTTTTCCGGTGGGAAGAGTTACTCAGAGGCCCGGACGATTACGGGATTCTGGGAGCCGGGGGCGGGGTCATATGGGGACCACCAACCTGGGGGCGGGCCCTGTGCTAGAGGCGGAGCCAGACTCTGGAATGGGTTGGGGTTGCTCCAGCGAATTAGAAATAGGGGTGAAAATAAGCGTGATTTGGGTAATGGGGTGGGGCGTCATTACCCCGCCAGATATCAGCTTCCAAGACAGGGCCTGAGGCTAGGGCCTGGGTTCGAGTTTCTGGGGTGGGGATCCCCGCCCTGGCTCCGCAGCTCTCAGACGTACAATGCCGAAGAGGTGGTGTTCGTCTTTGCGGTGGACGAGGGCGGCGAGACCATCAACAAGATCGATATTGACACTGAGGCCTATACAGGTGAGGTCCCCTCCTGCTCCTAAAAACCCTCTCTAGGCGGGGTCCAGAGAAGGGACGTGCAACGTGAGGCTGCCCCCATCATTAGTCCTAGGGACTGCCTTTGGCAACCGCGCTTTAATTCGTCCCTTTCCTGAAATTATTCTCGATTGTGGGACCAGCCCTGCTTCCTCGCGGTCGTTCCGTGCCTCACCGGGCATACTCCTTTCTGCCCGTGCAGAATTGCCCTTATGCCAACGGCCCTTGGCCCAAGGAGTCCAGCCCACTTGCCCCACCCACCCTGGTCCAGACAGCCGCACACTCTCCTCTGCCCGGAGTTGTAGACTCCCACCCGTAGGTGTGCGGCCTCTGAGCAGGGCGCCCATCCCTGAGAGCAGGCTGACCGCGCCACCCGTCCTGCAGAGAATGGCGAGTGGGCCATCGACTTCTGCCCGGGGGTGATCCGCCACCAAGACGGTGGCTCTGCTGATGGTCCAGGGGACACTGACGTCATCTACACGCTCATCATTCGCCGGAAGCCGCTCTTCTACATCATTAACATCATTGTGCCCTGCGTGCTCATCTCAGGCCTAGTGTTACTCGCCTACTTCCTGCCAGCGCAGGGTAAGGAGTCGCCCCAACCCTAAAGAGGAGCTCGCTCTGGGGTGGGGGCAGGCAGCTGCTCTCACTGGGCGCTCCCTCTAGCCGGCGGCCAGAAATGCACCGTCTCCATCAACGTCCTGCTCGCCCAGACCGTTTTCTTGTTCCTAATTGCCCAGAAAATTCCAGAGACGTCTCTGAGCGTGCCGCTGCTGGGCAGGTGAGGGCACCAGGGGTTCCGTCGGGGTTCTAGCGGGGGCGTGGCTACTGTGAAGGGCAGAGCCAGACTGGCTTGGGGCAGAGCTAAGAGGGGTGTGGTCGGGGTGGGCGGGGCCAAAACAAAATGATTCTAGGGACAGCTTTGGCTTTCTGGTCCCCGCCTGCCTGGGCTTTATTTGAACGCAGGGTGGGGCTGGGACAACGATGGATTCTCTGGTCCCTCGTCCTCCGCACTGCTGCTAGACGTCACCTTGAGGTCTTCTGAGTGTCTCGGTTGAAGGGGGTGGTGAGGCTCAGTGTCTCCCCAACCGTGCTGCCTCTGGCCCCCAACGCACGTCCCCATCTCAAACTCATCGGTTCCCCGGGGGTTCCGAGACCCAGCTGGCTTCTACATTGCTGCAGAAATTAGGCGGACCCTTGTAGATCCCGTCCACAATGGTATAGCAACGCGCCCCCTTGAGCAAGGGCCGGGTGCTTGCGCCCGCCGCGGGCCCCGCTGGCCGAGCCCCTTGCCCTGCAGCCTGAGCCCCTTGCCCTGCAGCCTGGGCTACCCGGGTCAGCGCTCCACCAGGATCCCCGGCGTTTGGGGCTGGGCCCGGGTCGCTGTCTCCGCCTAGTCTCCGCATCTCCTGCTGTAGCCACACGCTGAAATCTTCATTGGGCATACCGGAGTTAGTTGGGGATGCAGAGGTCCCTATGGCCCTTCCCCGTCCCTCCTCAGTCCCCCAGCGCCCCACCTCTAACAAGGTGGCGCCGAAGTTCATGACGTTGGACATGGCTTCTCTTAGCACCATCCCCAGGGTGGGCTTCAGGGCAGGCGGCTTCTTTGGCTTCCGGGGCTCCAGGGACTTCAGCTAGCTGAACCTCTGCTCCAGATACTCATGGGCTGCGGCATAGCGAGCGAGTTCCAGGGAAGATAGAAGAGGGGCTGGCGGGCCGACTGGAGAAGGAGCGGGGGCAGTGGAGCCCCTGGGTCCTAGGACAGAGGTCGCGGTGTGGGACGCTGGACCTTCCCAGAGGGTTTCAAAGTGCCACCCTTGGGCTGAGCCACTGGCGCCACCTCACCTCCATGGGACTGTGAAAGCGGTAGACCCACAGCAGGGTTTCCAGGGAGCTGGGGGGCCCTTCATTCCAGCCACGGGCAGTAGGAGAGTGAAAAGGGCCGGGAGATGCGTGTGGCCCTGCAGAGGAGCGGCTGAGGGAGGCCTCACTCCACTTCGGGTGGAGAGGTGTTTTTGAGGTCGAAGGACGAGTGGCTCCACCTGTCACTCCCGGGACAACGGGAGGCTGTGACGTCACGCACTCTGGGCTCCTTCAGGTACCTCATTTTCGTCATGGTGGTTGACACCCTCATTGTCATGAATTGCGTCATCGTGCTCAACGTGTCTTTGCGGACGCCCAGCACTCACGCCATGTCCCCGCGGCTGCGCCACGTAAGCGCCGGGTGGGCGGCGGGGTGGGAGGCAGGGCTCCCAGCTAATCTCCGCCCCGGCCCCGCCCCTAGGTCTTGTTAGAGCTGCTGCCACGCCTCCTGGGCTCGGGCGCGCCTCCCGAGGTGCCCCCCGCCGCCTCGTCGCCCAGGCGGGCGTCGTCCGTGGGCATATTGCTCCGCGCTGAGGAGCTGATACTCAAAAAGCCACGGAGCGAGCTCGTGTTTGAAGGGCAGAGGTACCGGCACGGCACCTGGACCGGTGAGCAGGGTGACCCGGGCGGGCTAAGGGGGTGCTTGCAGCGGGAAGGCTCCTAATAGCCACTCCGGGGCTCCCGCACCCTTCCCGCAGCCGCGCTCTACCAGAGCCTGGGCGCCGCCGCTCCCGAGATCCGCTGCTGTGTGGATGCTGTGAACTTCGTGGCCGAGAGCACGCGAGACCAGGAGGCCACCGGCGAGGTGGGGCAGGAGCCAGAGGCGGGGTGGGGCGCTGCGGAGGTCTCCCCACTAGCTATTGTGCTGCAGGTTCCTGCAGCCTTTACAGACTCGGCTTGTGCCTGCCCCTTCCTCAGGAGTTGTCCGACTGGGCGCGCATGGGGAAGGCCCTTGATAACATCTGCTTCTGGGCGGCTCTGGTGCTCTTCAGTGTGGGCTCCAGCCTCATCTTCCTTGGGGGCTACCTAAACCAAGTGCCGGACTTGCCCTACCCACCGTGTATGTAGACGTGAGCCGGTGGCCACACTGACTTCAACTTTCCTATCAATCTCCACGAGGAAACAGATTTTGAAAAACCAGTTGCTGCCACTGTTAATTATGATCCTTTACCACTGTGGATAATAAACCAGCATTTTGTAAACACATTGTGTGTGCACAAGTGTGCAGGTCTGGTCACCGTGCAGGGATCAGAAAGAGGAAAGATGGTTGTTCAAGCAGGCTCTTGGATGCCAGTCCTCTGGAAAGCAGACACCATCCTAGATTCAGCCTTGCTGACCTCCCAGTTTTGCTCAGGCCTCACCCTCATAGGACCTTTCAGCCCTATGAGCTTCTAAGGTATCTAATAGCCACACAGGAGAGACCCCTTTGCAGGACTGGTATTTAAAGAGCCTGGAGCCAGGAAACCAGGTCCCTCTGGGCTGGCTCTGTTGGAGTAGGTAGGGACTGAATACCCTCAGGGGAGGTCCCCCACAGGCCCACTAGGGTAAGGTTGAGGATGCCCTGGCCCTCCCTCAGTCTTTTCTTTTTTAACCTTCACCCAAGCATATTTTTCCATTTATCTTCAGATAAAGTGGAAGGGAGGGAAGGAGGGAGGGAGGGAGAGAGAGAGAGAGAGAGAGAGAGAGAGACATATCAGTGTGAGAAAGACACATAGACTGGTTGCCTCCCATATGACCCTGACGAGGGCCAGGGACAGACTGCAACCAAGGTATGTGCCGTTGACCTGAACTGAACCCCAGACTCATTGGCCTGCAGGCCCACACTCTAACTGGGGAGCCAAACCAGCCAGGGCCCTCAGTCTTTTGTGTGTGTATGTTTGTGTGTGTGTGTTTAATCTTTATTGTTGAATGTATTACAGATGTTCCTCATTTCCCCCCCATTGACCCCCTCCCCCTCCTTCCCCCTCCTGCCCCCTCCTGCCTTTTCCCACACTGTTGTCTGTGTCCACTGGTTATGCATATAAGTTCTTTGGTTTATTCCTTCCCACTCCCCAACCCCCTTCCCTTTGAGGTTTGTCAGTCTAGCAACCAATTTGTACTTTTTTTTTTTTTTTTTGAGGAAAGTTGGCCGATACCTTCATTGCTTTGGGGGGAAGGGGCGTGCTCAGGAGCTCGTGGTGGGGTGGGCCCGCTTTCTTTTCACCATCACAAGCTTCTGGCTGCGCAGGATGGCACTGGCCCTGTGGGTGGCAGCCATGCACAGATCCAGGCGGTACTTGTTCTTGCGGATCATATGCCGGATGCTGCTCAGGGTGGCCCAGGCATTCTTGTTGGTGGTCTGCACGTAGGAAGTGGCCGGCTTTCGCTGGCGGGATCTCTGCTTCATGACGACCACCATACCTTTGCCGTTGGCCGCCGGCTTCATGCCCACCGTCTTGCAGTGAATCACCCCATTGTAGCAAAAGGAGTTGTGGACCTTCAGGGTTCGGTGCTGTACGTCTGCTTGTTCCTCTTGATCAGGAAGCTGGAGCAGTTCCCTACGACCATCCATTGCAGATGGGCAGACATGGCGGCAGCTCCTCATGATGCCCCAGTGGGAGACAGAAAGAGCCAATTTGTACTTCTTAATCCCTTCACCTTTTTCACCCATTTCCCCAATCCCTCTCCCATCTGGCAACCAACAAAATGTTCTATCTATGAGAATGTTTCTGTTCTGCCTGTTCATTTTGTTTGTAGATTCCACTGTCCATAGATAGTATTCATTGCCATTTTGTTTGTTCATATATTTTATCTTTTTCTTCAAAAAGACCCTTCAACATTTCATATAATAATGGTTTGGTGGTGATGAACTCCTTTTTCTTGTCTGGGAAACTCTATATGGACATCAATTCTAAATGTCAGCTTTGCAGGATAGAGTAATCTTGGTTGTAGGTTCTTGCTTTTCATCACTCTGAATATTTCTTGCCACTCCCTTCTGGCCTGCAAAGTTTCTTTTGAGAAATCAGCTGACAGTCTTATGGGAACTCCCTTGTAGGTAACTAACTGCTTTTCTCTTGCTGCTTGTAAGATTCTGTCTTGAACCTTTTGCATTTTGATGATGATGTGTCTTGGTGTGGACCTCTTGGGGTTCATCTTGTTTGGAACTCTCTGTGCTTCCTGGACTTGTATGTCTCTTTCCTTCACCACGTTAGGGAAGTTTTCTGCCATTGTTTCAAATAGGTTTTCGATTTCTCGTTCTCTCTCTTCTCCTTCTGGCACCCCCAAGGTGCACACTTGAAGTTGTCCCAGAGGCTCCTTACACTCTCCTCATTTTTTTGGATTCTTTTTTTCTTTTTGCTGTTCTGATTGGGCGTTTTTTGCTTCCTTATATTACAAATCGATGGTTTGCTTCTTGGCTTTACCTACTCTACTATTGAATCTGTGTAAATTATTCTTTATTTCATTTAGTGCCTCCTTCATTTCTGACTGGTCCTTTTTATGCTCTTGAGGCCCTCACTAAGTTCGTTGAGGTTCTCACTAAGTTCATTGAGTATCCTTATAAGCAGTGTTTTGAACTCAGCATCTGTTAGGTTGCTTATCTCCATTTCACTTAGTTCTTTTCTTGGGGTTTTGTTCTGTTTTTTCATTTGGGACCTGTTTGTCTCCTCATTTTGGCTGCCTCCCTGTGTTTGTTTCTATGTTTTACTTAACGAGAGATATGGGCCTAGCTGAGGACAGATGCTGCTTATTTGAAACAATTTAGGAAAACTTGAAGCAGGATCCAAGACAGGCCAATCCTGTGGTTAAGTAACTGGCAACAGCTTGGGTGGGTCTGAAAGTTGGGTGGGGCGGGGCGGGGCCTCAGGGAATCACCAGGGCGGGGCTGAGCCAGGTTGCTGGAGTCCCAGATATGGTGGCGGTCTGCTACCCTAGGGAAGGGCTCACCAAAGGAACACAGGCCTCTGACAGTCCTGGAGAAAGCCCACTCTCAGCCCTCGCTCCAATGCCAAAGAGCTCAGTTCTTCCCTGTGTGTCTCTGGTGCCCCTCGAGCTGCCTCCCCTCCAAGCTTAGAGGGAGTGAGTCCGATAAGTCCATGCACAGGTCCTTTAAGAGGAGCTGCCTGGGGCTCCAGCTGCCTCAGCCTCTCTGACCCTCAGTTCCCGCTGGTTTTTCCAGCCAGAAGTTATGGAGACTTCTCTTCCTGGCACTGGAACCCTGAGCGGGGCACCTGGTGTGGCACGGGGACCCCTCAGTCCTCAGGAAGGACCTTCCCAGCCGAGGTGTCCTCCTGATTTTTATCCACCACACGTGGGTGTGGGACCAGCCCGTCTGCCTCCGCTCCTCCTACCAGTCTCAATGTGGCTGCTTCTTTAATTCCATAGTTGTAGGACTTCCAATTCAGTTTGATTTTAGGCGGTTTTGAATGATGGTTGTTCTATAGTTTAGTTGTAACTGTTTTTTTTTTCTTTTTTATCCTCACCCGAGGACATCCTCCATTTTTTGTTCAGGTAGAGTGGAAGGGAGAGAGGGAGAGGGAGAGGGAGAGGGAGAGAGGGAGAGGGAGAGGGAGAGACATCGACGTGAAAGGTATGCATCGAGTGGCTGCCACCTGCATGACCAACCAGGGCCGGGGACAAACTGCAACCAAGGTACATGCCCCTAGTGGGAACCAAACCCAGCTCTCTGGACCGCAGGCCGACGCTCTAACCGCTGAGCCAAACTGGCCAGGGTTAGTTGTAACTTTGATGTGGTTGTGGGACGACTCGATACGTTTATCCACCCGCCACCTTGACCGGAAGTCCCCTCAGTCTTTGCTTCTAGGTTTCCTTGGTCCAGCATTGCCCACCAACACCCCCCTACCCCAAGACTCATTGTAGATTCCACCCCACCCTGCCCACTTCATACCAGCTCCGCTTGTTGCCCTGGCTAGTATCCAGATTGTGAGAAAAAAAGAATAAAAAGGGGCCTGAAATGGTGGGAGCTGGTTGAATTGTCTTTATTAACAAATGGAATATCCAAGGCCACTACATTGAGGAGAGGGAGGGGCAGGGAGGGAACAGGGCTACTTGCTGCTCACACTATATACAGATGCAAGCAAGGGATGTGGGGGGTGAGAGCTCCCTGCTTCCTCCCTCCACTGGGGAAGGGCAGGGGCTAGAAGAGATGGGGGGGGTTGGAAAGGGGGAAATGTTTTGGCTGGAGGGGTCCCCCTTCCATTCCCTGGAGGTTGGGGAGAGGGGAATCATTAAAGTGCTTTCAGAAAATGAGGAAATGGTCCCTGCCCCTGGAGTGGCTGGTGACCCCCCTAAAACCTAGGGCCCAGTGACCCCCCCCCAGGGTCTGGTACATTCAAGGGGGGAGCCGGCTCCCCTGACGTGCAAATAAAGGGGCCCAGGGCCCTGCCCAGTCAGCAGCAGTGGGGGATGGGGTCCAAGCCCAAGCACTCTCCTCTTAAGTGAAGAAAAGGGGGGATGGGGCTAGGCCCACTCGGTTCCTGTTAAGGGGAAGCTGTGCCTCTCCCCAGAAGATGGGACAGGCACAGTTTTGGGGAAGAGAACATGTTGGGGAAGAGGGTGGTCATGTGATCACAAAAGCATCAGGGATCAGAGGTCACGTTCCCAGCAGGCTCCAGTGAATCAAACCAGTAAAAGCAAAAGCCCAAGGAGGGGAAAGCAGGGCGGCCTGGGAAGTCTGGCTGTGGGGAGAGCGGGTCCATGTGGGAGGGCTCCAGCCCAGGGCCTGTCACCAGTTCATGATACAGTTGCGGTTCAGAGTCATAAAGTAAACTTGGCTGCTGCCGCCAGAGCGGACGGAGGCGAAGAATACCTGGTAGGGAAGAAGAAGTCACCGAGGGATGGAGTGGGGGCTCAATTCATTGGGAGGGGGAGAGAGAAACTGCTGAGTTTAGTCTCTCAAAATAACCCCCATCCCCTTGAAAAGTAGAAATGCTCGGGGAAGAGGGCGGCTGGCAGACCTCCTGGGAGAAAGAACCTGGAGAGTTCTCAGAAACTGAAGGCGAGGGAAGGGCAGGCTGTGACTGTGTGTTGTGTTCCCCAAGGGCCCCCTTTCAGGAAGTCTCCACAACTGTCACCTCCTTGGTGGGGACCTAGGGTTGTGGAAGCCAGCCCAATGCAGGGGCACTGGCCCTTTCCAGGGGGGAAGGGGCTCCCACCTTGTCATTCCGCTCACACAGGAACTTGAGCCTCTGAGCTCGTTTGTG